ACCCTGGCAAATTATAGTGAAGTGTAGAACAGAAAACTGAAGGCCTTTTTGGTCTATTGAAATACTCATTTTTTCCTATTATCATGTGCTTGTTTATTTCCCGTACCATACAAAACAGATTTCCACAAATATGAAATATTTGTGGGACTACAATATTAATGAGTTATTGATGTGCAATACATCATTGTTAGCAAGGGCCATATTAATCACAAGATCAGCACGGTATTTATTTAATAATATACTACATAGGTGCAGAAACATGGGCATAGCAAGCAATAAAAAGTAAAGGTTTGTATGCAAAATGCTAGGACTTATGCTGATATACTGTATCAGTGAGAAATGTCTGAGCTTATTATGAAGTATATAAAACAAGTTCTATACTAAAAAGATTTGAACAAAACTTTACTTATAAGGCACACCCATCAAGGGAGCTGATCAGATTCTTATACTGGCACAGATCTCCAAAGTATAAAAGTTCCTTGGAGTGGTACGACACAGACTTAATATCAAGCAAATCCTGAGATGCTAATGTGTATACTTCCATACTAGTTTTTTCACTTTTCCTGCATAATTTTTTTGGGGGTGCGGGTGGTATTTGAAGGATGTCACAAGATCTTAACAGAAAAAAACATGCCTCCACTGAATATACAAGTTGTTCCTCTATTATTAAAAGTGTATATTGAATTAGTGTCTACACACCTTAACAAGGTTGGGACCCCACTGTGCACTTGACCACCATCTAGTACAGGATCATCCCTGCTGCAAAAGAGCTTGCTGTCTAAAAGTTTTGGTGCATTATTGTTTTTATAAAATTCTGTTATTTAAAAAAAACTGCAAGACACAAATTTGTGTTTTGAACTTTCCAGTTGATATGGAAAAAGTTAGGAGCAGCATGCTATTGGGTATTATTGGGTGGCGAGAGATACAATATATAGTAACCTTAACTTCATTTGCATACTGCAATCTTACTGGTTAAAGTAGTGCTACAGTTGTACTGCATTATTCTTTAAAGTGATTGTAATGACATTTTACACCTGCGCGCTTATACGATAAAGATTTTCTTTGCTACCGGACCCAGACAGCTTTGCTTCATCTGATACAGGCATGTGTTTGTGTATTTATGCATTACATAAACACATGTACATGGTGTATGTGCACAGTAATATCTCTAAGATAAAGGAGTGAGCACTTATTACAAAATATAAGACCCTTGGCAGAAGATATGAACCATACACAAATCTTGCAGTAGACTAGAAATGCCACCTAATCCCTGCTTAATTAAAGGCACCGTTCTAAACTCCTGTTGTGTTTAGGGAGTAAAGAGTGTGGGACGACTGATGTATGAAGAAAATAGCAGGCAGCGTGGCTAATCTCAAAGACTTCAGAGCTTTCGAGCTACATAAATCAGAGCCACTTTTTGAATAGCCTCATAAAACACAGTATCATTGCCATTCTGCTCACAGCTTTCGAGTTCTTCCTACAGCATACAGATCATTAGGAAACTTCTAAGCAATCAAGTAATGCGAGTCTGAGGAAATTACTCAATCAATGCACAGGCTCAGAGAAGCAACATAACACAGAACTGCATAATTCTGACATGTCATATCCCCCTCTTTTTATATAGGGGTAAGGATAATTACAGTGGAGGTGATCCATTTCAACATTTTCATAAGCATGCTTAATGCAGGCTTTCTGAACTGCCAACTCCTATTTATAATACTTAGCCAACAGAAACATTAACTATGGGCAGCCCTATCACTATTCAGAGGAACATATTTTGGAAAAATAGACTGATTTGCCCTAAAAATTAACAGAAAATACAACTAGAATAATTAAAAGGGTGTTCGTTTGGAAGAGAAAAATGAATCAGTATTCCATAACACAAAAAACTCCCCACACCATCCCCAACATATTAATCACAGCTGCTAATTCTAGGTAGCCATTCGTGTTGTGGTAGTCTACTGAGCTGTCTGATAGGATAGTTACACATTCAGAAATACAATCTTTTTATGGTAAATATATCAAATACTCAACATGCAGTCAAGTGAGGCAGTTAGTGCACTATAATGAATATATACCATCATAAAGGAATACATGTGCAAAGGATTAGGATGTTAGTTCTATTTCTTTTCAAGATTCTCCCCCTCCCCGCCCAACCTCCCCTATACATGGGCTCTCTATATTAGAAATATTTTCCACTTGAACATGTGGAAAATGTTAACATTGTAGAATTATGAAAATAGCTTATTCTTATTTTGCTCATTGCCTGAGGGCATCTGTATTACATATCTGTGTTACTTTTACTCCAGAATTTAAACATTTCCTTTTCTTCTTTGGCTTTGAAAATCCCATCCACAAGTATTAGAATAATTTGTTGATTGATTCTCTCCCCCATCCTTTATTGTTATTTAAAATATTAAAACTAAAAACCATGCCATCTTAAATTGACAATGGCTTTTCATTATTCTTGCTCAAATGCATTATCTGTAACTTAATATTACCTATACATGGAAACAATCAAATTAGGGTTTCATAAAACCTAGAATACAAAATTTAAGGGTCATTTTGGATATTATTATGGTTTTCACCTCTGAGTTCTACAGGATTGCCTGTTTTAATTGCTGACCTATTAGACATTCAAGTATCTGTAATTGCAGGTCATTTATTTTCAATTTTAAATTATAAAACGATTTAGAGCTATGTGTAACAATTATAAATTTGCCAGTATCATGGCAACATAAAGCAGTCTATAAAAAGAGCTAATCCCCTTGTCAAATGTACTAATTGTCTTTCAAGTCAAATTAATTGTGTGAGAAGCAACCACTTTGGTCCCCCGCCTCCCTCCACCCAGAGGATTTACTGTGTTGATGCATCTACCAACCAATGGCACTTTAAAGAAAGAGGGGAGCAGTAAATACTTGTGTCCTATATACCAGATAAAATAAATAAGTTTAAACAATAACAAATAGAAACAACAATTACCAGTGCAAAGAGAAGAAAGGAGATATTTTCCTCTGTCGGTACTATACCCAACAGCTACAGTACATGCAACTGATCATTTAATAAAAAGGACTGGATATAGTGCATTCACTTTTCCCACATCAGGTAGATGATTGTTACACGGTAAAGATGTCACCCCAAACCCTAAGATGTGGTCAATGAGTGATAAGCCCCTAAAAATCAAAAGCACTAGGCAGTGTGACTAATAGTTTACAACTGCAAAGAAATTAATAAGCCATGCTCTCTTTAAAAGGAGGGCATATTGCTCTGCCTCAGGAGAAGACTGGAGGTTCCAGTCAAGGCTAGCTATTAGGATTGACCCCTGTAAAGTTCTGTACCCATGGGAATTGATAGCCGGTGGGCGGCTGGCGATCTTAAATGAAGAGTTGGACAGCTGCCCCAACGCTGGTGTCACTTTCAAAGCTGCAAGTGGAGGGATGGAATGCTAAATTCGGATCTTACTTTCCCTGCTACACACACTGCTGCTATAAATGATAGGCACAGACAGACATGTTTACAAAGGCAACCTCAGAGAGCGGGCGAGCCCCCTGGATCTAAGGGGCCTGGCACTGGAAGCCAAGAAGGGATCCGAGGCAGAGCACTAGCTGCATTTGCACACCCAGGCTCCCGCACGGCGGACACCTGAGAACAAGCTCCCCCCGACCCCAGCAGGGGGATTGGGCTTTTTATTTTATTGCCCGCCTTGCAGTCAGGCATCCACATTTGTATGCTCTTGTTCCTCCTGTCTGTTTGGGTTTGCAGATCATTCAGCGATGGGGGGGGGGGGGGGAGAGATCTCCCCTCCAGGCAAATCCCCCCCGGGGAAAGCAGGGGAACCCGCGCTGTCCCCTGGCGGGGAGAATAAAATGCCCTTTAACAATAGGCACCTATTTCTAAGGGGCGTGCGCGCAGAGGAGAGGCTGGGAGGGAGGGACTGTTCCCCGGCAGGCCGGGCTGCCACATGGAGGGGGATCCAGCTGTCTCTCGTTCCCTATGCCCCTCTCTGTCTGGATAGAAATGTGGGTTACAGCTTGAGCTTGCTGCGGACAGCGCTGTGAATAATAATCATACACACACAGCGCCTCCCTCCCTCCAGCTCTCCGACTCCCCGTGTGGCCATCATGCTGCCAATAGGTGGGGCCACAAGCAGCTCCAGGGCAGGCTCCTTAACCCCTTCCAGGGTGGCAGCAGCAGCAACCCCTAGTCCCCCTAACTCCGCCACAGCGCTGGCCGAGGGGACGCCCCCACCCGCCTCTGCTGCCCTCTCTGTGAAGACCGGGCCGGGGGAAGAGTGAGAATCCCGGATCGGGGACGGAGCAGAGGGAGGTGCGTCTGGACCCCGAGTCCCGGTCTGCACAGCAGCTGGCTCCGAATCCTTCCGGGAGCGGGTTTACGCGGCCCCGGCTTGCTGCTGCGCCGCCCCCTCCAGCTGGGATAGCAGCGGCGCCGCTTACCCTGGAGGGAAGGAAGGGTTAGCGGGGGGGCTAAACGGGACATCTTCCCCTTGCACACAGAGCTGCTTTGCGAAACCCAACAGCTCACGTTGCCAAACCACCTGTTCCGCCGCGGCGGCGAGGGGTGGCTGTGGTTATTAGACACCATCTGGGGGATACTTTCGGGTTCCCAGATAGGGCAAATTAGTGAGTCGCGGGGAAAGGGGGTGGGGGGGAAGATTCGTGCTAAGGGCAAATACAGGGGGTGTGTGAACTCTCCCGCTACCCCCCCAAAAAAACCCCTCCAAGCCACTAGATACGAAACCCAAGATTTAAACACACATCATCCATCAAGAACCGTTAATAAAGAGCAACTGTAAAAAAAAGGGGGGGGTGGAGGGGGGAGAAAAGCAAAGATCTTTATGGGAAGCAATGATACGGAGGGGGAAAGGGAGAGCAGGAAAGAAGATGGCAAGAAGGAAAAGGGACTGCAAAGAGCGCGAATGAGAGAGAGACGTTGCAAAGGCGAGCTCGAAAAGTAACCAGCAGATGCAGTAACCCCCTTACCTATATGTATGATTGAATCTGCAATCGCCGCTTCCCAGGTTCGAGTCCACCAGACGGACACAACCAAGATGAGGGAGAAAACTTCCATGTCCTCCTGGGGTTTAGTTTTTTTTGTTTTTTAAAAGAGCGTCAGATCTCTTCTTACAAGGAGGATAATGAAGGACAGCGCAGCAAGCCCAAGAGTTGGAGATGCCGGAACACTGTTTAAATCCCGATTGCCTGTGTACAGTAGCTGATGGCTCGGGGGAGAGCCCAGGGTTTGGGGCGCCCCTCTCCTTTACAAGAGCCCCGCGTTACTTCGGGGGGCTTCTGGGCATAGCGACCACAGCTGCTGTTAGTTCGGGCAGCGAATCCATCCAGCCCGATTGCTTCTCTGGGCAGCAGGCGCCTCTTCGTCAGACCATCTCCATCCTTCCGCAGGGTCCAGGGATCGGCTCAGTCCCGGCGCCTGCACAACAACTTCCAACCCACCACACACACACACCGCGCGCGCGCGCACACACACACACACACACACACACACACAAAACCCTCTTGGCCCGAGAGCCCCAAACCCCGGGAGCCCGCAGCAAATAACTCGCCTTCAGTAAGGAAGGAGGCGGAGCGGGGAATCAAGTAAATAGGAGATCCCGGTTCTAGAAGCCAGATTCCTGCAGGAAAAGCCCCCCCTAGGCCAAAAAACAAAGTGAACTTCAAGGTAATGCAGATAGTAATGCAGAGATTTTCCCCCACCCCCTGCTTAGAAATTGCTTCCCACAACTGGTGGAGAAATCTGCAAATCAAGCCCAGCGTGCTGTCTGTGTCGCGCAAGGTAGTGGTTGGACAGGGCAGGAGACAGAGAAGCAGTGCCTGGAGCAAAGCAGAGGGAAGCAGCTGATGGTCCGCAGGATGCTTTAGAGCTTGCTTTGCTGGTGGGATGCAGAGAGAGCTGGCAGCTCCAGCACGTTGCCTAGAAATGGATCACCTAGGAGGAGAAGAGCGAGCGAGCGATAGTGTTATCAGCTAGAGAGACAGAGAAAAAGCGAGGGGGGCTCCCCTCTAATAACCACCTCCTCCCCCTATCTGCAATACAAGGGAGAAGCAAAATAGAGCTCTCATCTTCCTTGAAATCTTCAGCTGGGACGGAGTAAAAGACAAGCAGGAGTGCATGCAGCCTAAAAATGCACTAGAGGAGGGGAAAAGACCTTTTTTGAAATGTAATGCTCAGCTTAAAAAAAAAAAATCCACCCCATTTGTTTAACCTTGTAACTCCACCGCAGGTATCAAGTTCAAAGCTAGATGGACACTTCTGCTTTTCCAGTCTTTGACAACTGAATCAGGGACATTGCTTGAAGGGAAGGGAAAAATAATCAGGGTCACCTGGTCGCAGAGGAATAAAAAAAGACCTAGAAAGCTATTTATATGATTTTAATTATCTACAATTTTGATTGAATAGTCACAATTATTTTAAAACTGAATTGCCCCCTCCCCCGCAAATCAGAGCCAATGTAAAAGCCATGGGAACTTGCACTTGCATAGCACTTTTCATTCTCAAGGCACTGTAAAATCCTTAACTGTTTAATCCTCACTCACCCTTTGACATCAGTATGTATATTATCCCCATTTCACCGTTGGAAAACAATGGCAGAGAGAGATCAAAACTTCTCCTGTGGGCATATTATTCCCAGGTGCCCACTTCAGGGTTTCTTGCACTTTCCTCTGAATCGTGCTTACTGTCTCCTGTTGGAGACAGGACAGTTGACTAGATGGAGAATTGCTCTGATCCAGGAGGATAAATTTTATGTTCAGCATGAGCAATTTATAGTACACAATGTGGAACCTGTGTGTAAACTTCACTCCCACGTACAGCATAGCTCTATAAACACCCCTTCTGTGTCATTTCCAGACCTCTCCTTAGCAGAGACTTTTATAACAGATTGATATGTTTGGCAGAAGCTAACTGAAGATCACCAAATTTACTCCATGTGTGACCTATTCAGTTCTCTAATGGAGACTAGTTACCACTTTAAATTATGAGCTGCACCCCTATAGGCTTACTTATAAAAAGTAATCAAGGATTTAGGACAGGAAATAAAAAGTTCTTGACAAAAAAAACGCCAAAGCATTAGAGCATCTGCTAAGGAGTGAGATCATTTAAAATATGCAAGCAACTTTAGCTTTGCTTAGATCCATACTTCCCCAGATGGTGATATTCAGACGATTTAGGGCGGATCCAAAGTGTATTGAAGTCAATGGCATTCGTTCCATAGACTTAAATGGGCTTTGGATAGGGCCCTTAGAGTATGACAATCATAAGTCAGTTTAAATTCTGAGATTCAAATACAAGTAGAAAATATGGAACTGAAAGAGGAAGAAGTTACTCAGCAAAAGTGAGCAAACTATCTCACAGAATACCATTTGTATGTTACATGCACTCCAAGCCCAGGATAGAATTCATCAGATAGACCTGCTTTGTCAACAATAGCAAAAAAGCTTTTTATTGTATATAGCAGGTGTCACACAGCATATGCTAATGTATTGGGCATTGACTTTAACTAGTAATAATTCAGAGAAACTTTAGAAGCTACTTTACTCATTACTACTTCTCCACAAAAGAACAAAGTTCATAAGAAATGTTAATTTGCTTCAGATGGGGGTACATATAAGAGCAGTACTCTAATTATGTACTGTGCACAGTAGGCAGAATAAGAAATGTAATGAAAATCTTTGGAAAAATTCATTTTAATTAGTACTTTAGGTAATGTTAAGAACTCTGGTGCCTTATCTAAAAGTCAGCTGTCCTCACTGACTGTTTAAAACATCTAGTAAATCTATCCTAGATTAACCACAGTAAGGGCAAGTTCCATTCCAGGTTGTGATCCCAACTTAGTAGGGCAGGAGGCATAGCTGAAAGATTGTAGATCAACGACTCATTAGATTCTTGGCAGTATGACTCATTTTATAAAATTGTAATAAGAGAGTAATAAAGTTAATTTTTGAATGCTGATGTGAGAAAGTCACATGGCACACTTCCTGAAAATTTGGGAGGAGGAAATCGTAGGTTAACTTTATTTGAATTAGCTTTTGAAAGAGCTTTAGTCAATTAAAAAAACAATTATTGAATTAAAATGCATCCCTGTAAAGCATAAGAATCAGTGCTAAACCTTTTTGAACTAAAAAACACCATTACCTACATATGTAGATTGAAATATACTGTACTGGAGGATTTTTTACTATAAAATATTTGTCAGACATTACATAGTGTACATACTTTCCATAAATTCTTGGTATAAGTTTTCAGTTCATTTTGAAGTCAGAGACTCATCCTGTGACAATGTAATTTTGAAAAGACTACTGGATTTTAAGTACAAATTGTTTAAATAAATGCAATCATTGTTTTATGGATGCTGGTGCAGTAATGTGAAAATTGCTCATTGCAATGTTATTAATTTGCTTCAGTTCAGACTCAATAAGGGTCTAATCCAAGCCCAGCAAAGTCAATGGGTGTCTATTGAGTTGACTTTGAACCAGGCGTATAAAGATACACCCTGTGTGGCTGAAGCATACTGTTTCTACATTGGACTATTTGCCTCTATATTTCCCATTGTTGCTACTACCACGGCTGCTCCATTGCTACCATCGATGGTCTATGCTAGTGCTCCCACCAATGACAGCATTAAAACAAACCCACCTGTCCTGCTCAGCAAGGATCTAGATAGACCACACAACAGTTAATACGCTGGCAGCTACCAATGGCCTGGTTACTCTAGTGTCCCAAGTATTGCTACTGTTGGTGGAACAAAGATAGGAATGTTTTGTCAAATCTAATGTAGATAAGACAGAGGCAAACTCCATCAATTTTTTCCAACTCTCTCCTCTAAGCCAGCGAGTGACTTGCTTCTGCTTTATTTAATATACAAGCAGTATATTTCAAAAATCTAGAGCTCTCATCTGGTCAATTGCTCCACGCATCTGGACCTTTGTGCCTGCATGAAAACCCACTGAAGTCAGTGGGATCTCATGCAGGAACAAGGGTCTAACCATGCAGAATACTTAGACAATCAGGATCTAATTGACGATCACATGCACACTGTTTGGTCTAATATTTGCTTAATTCTGAGCTCTACCAGTTTCTGTAGTGACTGAAGAACTAAACATAGCACCAAACCAATCATTTATAACCCTCTATTGGCTCATGTTAGAAGGTAATTAGAATACTGGAACATTATAATGAAAGTTCTGAATTACATAGTAAACATTAACATTTGCATAAACGAAGACTAATTTAAATGTTATTTCTGCAGTAGATTTTATATTTCATAGTGTTTGTTAATGTACTGCACACAACTAGAACATAGGATTTATCCATCATAGATTAGTCCATCTGCTCTTACATCCAGCTTCTGGCAGTGTCCAATACATAATGCTTCAGAGGAAGGCAAAAACATAATGCACCTAGCCAACTGAGCAATGCTATACTCAGCGGGAGAGGGAGGGAATATTCCTTCCTGACCTGAACAAGACATCAGCTTGATATTCAGTTAGCCTTTTTTATCATAGCTTGCATAGTTACAAATCTTAACCATCATGAAGTTATCCTTTAAAAAAAAAAAAAAAAAAAAGACCATGTTTAATTCAATTCAGTTACCTTCTGTGGCAATGAATTCCAACATTCCCCTGGCTATGAAAAACAACATTTCCTTTACACCAAAATTCAGCCCTTTCTTTCAAAGAGTGGCTCAATAGTCGCATTATGGGGCAGGATTAATAAAATCTGATCAGTCCTGAAAGGGAACCATCAATCACACATGTATAACAGGCATATCCAAATGCTTATTGATGCCATCTGAACATGGGATAGTTGCCAGAAGGACCCATCAACAATTGTTAAAGATTAGCTTCTATTTCTAGACTTTTTATATAATTTGTTTTAGTTTTTCACTAGAGCCTCTTCTTTTTGGACTCCTTGAAAATCTTTTAAATGGATATACCTGACAGGGAAAATTAACAGTAATTTTGTGTGTGTTCATATTTCTTTGACTACACAGGAAAATGGGCTTGCTTTCATATTCATCCAACATTGTAACATGATTTGTCACAATATAGTAA